CTTTCATCAAGTTCTAAAGTTTTATGGCCAAGGCGTCCACAACTTTGAAACACTGATGAAAACAACGTCCAAAGAACTGTGTCATCGCCTGACTCAGTATGAAGGAGACATACCTATATCGATAGAGCTTGCTCGATACATTCGGTGGGTAGTCGCGCTTCTACTCAAAGGACCGGAGACGTGTGAAAAAGATTTAGATGCTATGCTTGAGTATATCGATAGAACAAATGAGTGTTTCATTTTTGAAAAGGAAGTAGTCTTAGAAACAGTTCCTTTTGCGCCTCACATCCCTGGACTAGGCCTGAAGAAGCTTGTGGGTGATCTAAAAGTCGCCCAAGAAGTGATGAGACAGAGATTTTTTCTGGCTATTCGAGAAACCTACCAGAAAGGGGAAAGAACTGGTATAGTTACTGACATGTTAGACCAACAGGCAGAGCTAAAGGAGAAAGGAAACGCCTCCGAAATGCCTGATGAATTAATCATTGGTTTAGTCCAGGACATCGCTGCTGCTGCCTATGCCACAACGGTAGCGACATTGAAAACATTGTTTTTGCAGTTAGTGGTGGACCAAAAGCTTCAGGACCGCATACATGCAGAGATCTGTGAAGTGATAGGAGATGAAAGCCCCAGCTTTGACCACAAACGCCACATGCATTACACAGAAGCAGCTATCCTGGAGACCTTGAGATATTCCTCAGTCGTACCTCTTCTGCTACCTCACTACGCCAATGGGGACATTCATTTTGAGGGACATTTCATTCCTAAAGGTACTTTTCTTATCCTGAACGCCTTTTACTTCCACCATAGAGATGACGCCTTTGAAGACCCCTGGAAGTTCAAACCAGAGAGGTTCCTGGACTCTGAAGGTCAACTCCTCGACCCAGAACATCCCACACGACAGAAGCTTATTCCTTTTGGAACTGGGAAAAGATCTTGTCCTGGTGAAAGTTTTGCAAGGATTCGCGTCTTTTTCATCGTGGTCACTTTGCTTCAGAAGTATCGGTTTTTGCCCCCCGTTGATGACCCGCTCCCGTCTGTGCATCCACGGGACTGGAAAATACAGGCAGTGATTTCTCCAGACGAATACAAGTGCCGAATGGAACCCAGACTCAAAGGAGAGGCCAAAACTTGTCAGACGTAAAGAGAATTGAGCTCAAGCATTCGGAAATAACCATAGACTTGAGTTTTCCACATGTATATATATATATATATATATATATATATATATATATATATATATATATATAATACCCAAGCCTGAGAACTCTCACATAATTCTTGTTTACTACAGAGAGCAGCATTCGACTCTGTTTGGGACTAAATGAAGGGCAAGAGGGAAAAATATTGTTCACGACACTTGACTTAAGCGAGACTAGTGCTTTGACTTTCGTTTGCACGTCCAATGTGCGCAGAAGGAGCAAAGTGTTTTTCTTTAATAGAGAGCAAAGACTGAAAGCCATGACAGTTCCTTGTTTGAATCTATCATAATTCTCGTCTTGCCTATTGAAACAACCGACAGAGCAGATCATATTATTGTAGACTGTATAGTAGTCCCAGGCCCCAAATGTTTAAATATGTTTTATTGCAGTTTCTTCATTTCTCTTAACGATTGCATGTGATTGAGAAATATTTGACTGAGATTCAAATTCTAATGTTGAAAACAACAACAACAACAACAACAAAAAATCAAACAAATAAAGAAACAAAAGAAACGTAAATATAGCAGCAAGAAAAGATACATAATGCATGTACATTTATTTTTAAAAAACAACAACACAATTTTCACTCTCTCTCTCTCTCTCTCTCTCTCTCTCTCTCTCTCTCTCTCTCTCTCTCTCTCTCTCTCTCTCTCTCTCTCTCTCTCTCTCTCTCCCTCTCTCCCAAGGACGTTTGATCTTTGGGTTAGGTCATCTGGAACTTCTGGTCGACTGTATGGCCTTACCGAACATTCCACCACTTCTGGCGTTTGTCGTGGAGAGGAAGGACTCCCAAATACACGGACCATTCGTTTTCTCCTTGTAGGATGCTTTACTCTACATGTTTTCAGCCTCTAACAACACAATTTAGGTTACTAATTAGGCGGAAGGCTCTGACTACAACTGTCAGCGCTAACCCGGGCTTGGCACATCCTAACAGACAGATGGAAGCACTCAGTAATATAAGCTTCCTAACACAGGAATGGAACTCTTGTCTTTAACGAGCAACGATGAACAGCCTAGACATTTTACCACAGTCGTCTGATTTTTTAAAGACACGTCCTTGCCATTTTCTCATCTTCTAGAAACAGTGAAATACAATATCCCCATACAGGATTCAATCTGTTCTCTTTTGTGTAGACGTATGAATTACTCTCTCTCTCTCTCTCTCTCTCTCTCTCTCTCTCTCTCTCTCTCTCTCTCTCTCTCTCTCTCTCTCTCTCTCTCTCTCTCTGTATATATATATATATATATATATATATATATATATATATATATATATATATACATATATATATATAGAGAGAGAGAGAGAGAGAGAGAGAGAGAGAGAGATATATATATATATATATATATATATATATATATATATATATATATATATATATATATATATATATGGGTGTGTAGGGGGATAAATGTACCCTCTTGAAAGGCCCCCGTGTGGGCGTACGGGAACAGAGATAGAGATATCTGTCGAACCCCCCCAAAGAGAGACCCCCACCCCCAGGGTATCTTGGGGGGGGGAAAAAAAAAACACACACATATACACCGAAAAAAGAGAAAACGAAGGGCGCCCGCCCCCCCCCGGGGGGGAGGATTTAACAGAAGGATATGGGAAATGAAAATATGGGACTAGCTCTGTTAGTCGTGCTTCGCCGTGGGAGAGCGTGC